AGAGAGAGAGAGAGAGAGAGAGGCCCCATTTCCTCCAGACGCATTCATTTTCTCCCTTTCTCTCCAATGAGCCTTAGGCAGCTTCCCAGGCTGTCTTTCTCCCCATTTACTCTCCAAAACAGCCCTGTGAGATAGGTTCCGGTGGACTGAATGAGGTCGAGTCTTGTAGTTCAGTGGGGACTGAGATCTGTATATCTCCAGGCCTTAGTCCAAGCACTACATGACACTGGTTTTCTTTCCTTCCACAAAAGCTCTGCTCATATAGCTATGAACAACACAGATTTTGGAAATGCACAATAATATGCGCAGTGTACTCCGCTCCACAAGAAAGAAAGCCCAGGCGCTGCTGTCCCCAGAATTTCTCACTATTCGAGAGGATAAAAATAAAATGGAAACTGGATCTCTTCAGTTCCAGCCAAGTACTAGTCTAAACTGCTACACCACCACCCCCCCACACACACAACTGGGAATTAAGCTTAACACTGGAGGAGGATGAATTGCAGGACAATAAAACACCCAATGGCAGGCTGAGAGCGAAATGGAAAGGAAGTGCATTCAAACATGTTTGTTTTACCCACACCAACTCAGCTAATTATTACACAAGCCACCCACGGGTTCCTGTTCTTCAAAATGCACATACAAAAGTCTTACACACGAAATAACCCCAACAAACTCCCATTCCAACAAAATAAAACACCCAATAGCAGGCTGAGAGCGAAATGGAAAGGAAGTGCATTCAAACATGTTTGTTTTACCCACACCAACTCAGCTAATTATTACACAAGCCACCCACGGCTTCCTGTTCTTCAAAAAGCACATACAAAAGTCTTACACACGAAATAACCCCAACAAACTCCCATTCCAACAAACTCTCAAGCATTCCCCCATCCCAAGTTACTCTCCTTAAGCCACCAAGCTCTGAAACAGCTCAGCTATATGGACCCCACACCAACCTAAACCCTGCTGAACTCACAAAGAACAATGGAAGTTATTTAGTGGCCATTTTGAGAGTGCTCTGCTTATTACCTACTTCATGCGTTCTCTTGCCCCACCTCCATACTGTACAGATCTTTTCATTACCTGCAGATAGGCTATTTTCCCACAAACTGCAATATTTACCTAGAGAATTGCTGGGACGTCTACAGTCATTAACTATACACATTGAAAGAAAGCAAGAGGTTTGTTTCTCAAAAAAAAAAAAAACTTGGTAAAAATAGCTTTCTCTCTTTTTTGCCCCATTTCTCAACTTCTATAGGAGCTACATCTCATTTCATTTAGATAAAATAAAGTTTGCATTTCCCTCCTCTCCTCTCCCCACCCTGCCTATCCCTCTATTGCTTTTGCAGCTGTGCAAAACAAATCTCAAACAGAGGTGGCTAGTATCCTCTGCACCTGGAATGTGAATCACAAAAGGGGAAATCCTCCACTTAAGACTTGCTAGCTAAACTCTTCCTTTGCACTTTGCTCCCCCTTTTAATTGCTCTCTCTCTCTTTCTGTCTCACACTCACTCACTCACAGAGAGAGAGAGAGAGAGAGAGAGGCCCCATTTCCTCCAGACGCATTCATTTTCTCCCTTTCTCTCCAATGAGCCTTAGGCAGCTTCCCAGGCTGTCTTTCTCCCCATTTACTCTCCAAAACAGCCCTGTGAGATAGGTTCCGGTGGACTGAATGAGGTCGAGTCTTGTAGTTCAGTGGGAACTGAGATCTGTATATCTCCAGGCCTTAGTCCAAGCACTACATGACACTGGTTTTCTTTCCTTCCACAAAAGCTCTGCTCATATAGCTATGAACAACACAGATTTTGGAAATGCACAATAATATGCGCAGTGTACTCCGCTCCACAAGAAAGAAAGCCCAGGCGCTGCTGTCCCCAGAATTTCTCACTATTCGAGAGGATAAAAATAAAATGGAAACTGGATCTCTTCAGTTCCAGCCAAGTACTAGTCTAAACTGCTACACCACCACCCCCCCACACACACAACTGGGAATTAAGCTTAACACTGGAGGAGGATGAATTGCAGGACAATAAAACACCCAATGGCAGGCTGAGAGCGAAATGGAAAGGAAAGGAATTCAAACATGTTTGTTTTACCCACACCAACTCAGCTAATTATTACACAAGCCACCCACGGCTTCCTGTTCTTCAAAAAGCACATACAAAAGACAAGAAAGAAAGCCCAGGTGCTGCTGACCCCAGAATTTCTCAGTATCCGAGGGGATAAAAATAAAATGGAACCTGGATCTCTTCAGTTCCAGCCAAGCACTGGTCTAAACTGCTACACCACGCGCGCATGCACACGCACGCACGCACACACGCACGCACGCACACACACACACACACACACACACACACACACACACACACACACACACACACACACACACACACATCTATAGCTATTTTTTGACTAAACCCTTTTTGATCTCAACTGCATTAAAGCTCAAAGCTGTTTTGACTAAAGCAAGGTGTGTTGCTTACGCACCGCCCCCTAGCTTAAAACACTTGAAGCACTCTCTGGGCAGCTTACAGTTTAATTATGTAGGTTAAACATTAGCACGCAGCCCCACAAGCGAGCTGAGTTCTCAGTTTACCAACCTCAGAAGGATGGAGGGCTAGAGAGTTGCTTTAAAAAAACTGAAGCTTGGAGCCCAGGCCGTGTGATGGTATAAACAGGCAATTGGTGACGCGTCCAGGAATTGGCTAAAGCCCAGCCATTTGAATCATACGCTACAACACTTGCTGCATGTGAGTTTATGACTGTCACATACCCCATATTTTGGAGTTCTTCTGTTGTTTGAAACTGAGAAATGAATAGTGTACATTATTTTAAGGTAAGGAATTGTGGATGGCTGATCGCATATAATTCAGTCTTTTGCTGTGATGATAAGGCTTTGCTGTTCCATCCTGTCATATGAAGGTCCTTCTCAGATCAGTCATATTTGCTTTGCACTGCATTCTTCACTTTGGTCCGATTTATATTCTTAGGACAGAAGTATCAGTATAGGATTAAATTGTACATTTTGGGGCCAGAATGAGGAAAAAAGAATATTGGAGCTACAGCTGAGATTATGATCAAGGCTGTCACTCAAGAAAGAGGATTCAGAACTAACTTCCTTACTCTGTCATGCCAGCTTAAATGATAGGTTTTGACTTCAGGATTTTCCTAGTTGGAATCCAGGAGAGGACTTAGGAGTTCATTTTAGAAATGTTCATTTCTAATATGTCGCTCTACAAAACTTTCTAATTGCATCTTGGATCTTTGATGTTGTGGCTGTCGCTTGCTATATGTTCACACAACACCTCAGTGGTCATGCTCATAGCAGGAAGAAAAGTGAAGGATGGAGAAACCACCAGCAGGGTACAGAAACGGAGTCAAGTTCCTCTTTCAAGAGCGTGGTTAGAACTTCAGATGCTTGTCCACTGAAAACTTACAGCAATTTTATTCCAATTTAGTCTGTGTTTTCTTTTGGGCCTGCTGTTTTGTTGGTACTTCAGGTTCACTTTGGGAAGAGCTAAATAGCGCTGAAATTACTCACGGCTGGATCTGACATATTGGGCTTTCTTTATGTTCACACAGGAAGTGCACTAGTAGCTTCTCATTAAGTCATTTTGGCTGCTGTGAAACAGTCAAAAGTACTTAGAAATCAGTCAGCCATCTAATTAGATTCTAACACATTGAAGTACTCTGTCTTTTCTGACTCAAGTAGATGTTTGTTGTGAATAAAGGAAGGGTTTTCAGCTATTCTGATGCAGAAACAAAATCCCAGACTTCTCTGACTGTATTGAAAGACAGTGGCACCTGGCTAAAAATAAGGGGACTTTGACCAAAAAAAAGTTCTTTACTGTATTGAGAAAGACATATTACTTTATTCAAGTACCATGAATGGAATTATAGGAAAAAATAGCATAGCCATCAAAATATATTTCACTTAGTAATACATGGGTAGGAACACATATGAAGCTATCTTATGTTAGGTGAGACCACTCTTTTTTTGTTAACATATGGTGGTCCTCATCCAACCAGATAGGCGGGATATAAATAAAATAAATAAATAAATAAATATTAGTGATTTCTGCTGAGTTTAATGATATTGTATCTTTCATAATATTAGTCCTAAAATTCTTTTTTGCTGTTAGTTAGTTAGTTAGTTAGTTAGTTAGTTAGTTAGTTAGTTAGTTAGTTAGTTAGTTAGTTAGTTAGTTAGTTAGTTAGTTAGTTAGTTAGTTAGTTAGTTAGTTAGTTAGTTAGTTAGTTAGTTAGTTAGTTAGTTAGTTAGTTAGTTAGTTAGTTAGTTAGTTAGTTAGTTAGTTAGTTAGTTAGTTAGTTAGTTAGTTAGTTAGTTAGTTAGTTAGTTAGTTAGTTAGTTAGTTAGTTAGTTAGTTAGTTAGTTAGTTAGTTAGTTAGTTAGTTAGTTAGTTAGTTAGTTAGTTAGTTAGTTAGTTAGTTAGTTAGTTAGTTAGTTAGTTAGTTAGTTAGTTAGTTAGTTAGTTAGTTAGTTAGTTAGTTAGTTAGTTAGTTAGTTAGTTAGTTAGTTAGTTAGTTAGTTAGTTAGTTAGTTAGTTAGTTAGTTAGTTAGTTAGTTAGTTAGTTAGTTAGTTAGTTAGTTAGTTAGTTAGTTAGTTAGTTAGTTAGTTAGTTAGTTAAGCGAGCTGAGTTCTCAGTTTACCAACCTCAGAAGGATGGAAGGTTGAGTCATCCTCAAGCCAGCTACCTGAGCCCATCAGGATCAAACACGGGTCTTGACTGCAGTTTAACTACCGTGCCAGGAGGCTCATGAGACTAGTTTGGTTTTTGCACCTGTGTGTGTTTTGTGACGTCCCCCTTAAGGAAACAAATGGAGTTTATCTTACACTTTCCTCCCTTCCTTCTTTGAAGTAATTGTGCAGCTACTTAACTATAAAGCTGAATAACATGTTATTATTGAAGAAATGTGGGGAACCAGCCATGCAGGCAAACAAGAGAGATGAAAAAGCAATTTTTTACAGGACGATCCTATGCATGTTTGTTCAGAGGTAAATCCCGCTGTAAAACAAGGTTTATATATCTATATAGGATTGTGGGCTTTAAAGAACACAGCTATGAATAAACCCCAATGAATTCAGTGGAGCTCACTGTTCATCTGACACAATTGCTCTCTTAATAATAACAACTGGGAATTAAGCATAACACTGGAGGAGGATGAATTGCAGGACAATAAAACACCCAATAGCAGGCTGAGAGCGAAATGGAAAGGAAGTGCATTCAAACATGTTTGTTTTACCCACACCAACTCAGCTAATTATTACACAAGCCACCCACGGGTTCCTGTTCTTCAAAATGCACATACAAAATTAGTAATACATGGGTAGGAACACATATGAAGCTATCTTATGTTAGGTGAGACCACTCTTTTTGTTAACATACAGTGGTCCTCATCCAACCAGATATGCGGGATATAAAATAAATAAATAAATAAATAAATATTAGTGATTTCTGCTGAGTTTAATGATATTGTATCTTTCATAATATTAGTCCTAAAATTCTTTTTTGCTGTTAGTTAGTTAGTTAGTTAGTTAGTTAGTCAGTCAGTCAGTCAGTTAGTTAGTTAGTTAGTTAGTTAGTTAGTTAGTTAGTTAGTTAGTTAGTTAGTTAGTTAGTTAGTTAATATGTGTTAACACATGTGCTAACATGTGAGTTTGTATTTTGTTTTTGCTTTTAAAAAAATTAGAGTCTCTTTACACAGCTGTTCTGCCAGAGCCACCGAGGCAATGAGTGCAACAGTTTGCAGTTAAATAATATAATTAAAGCTATAAAATGAATATCAACATTTTTAAAAAGTTAAAGCAGAGCTTAAGAACATGGCCGTAAAAGAAAACAACACATTTTTAAAAATTAATGTACAGTTTAAGAACACCACTGTAAAAAAGGGGCCCACATGCTTTCAAAAGTATTTCCTCAGCAAGTGAGAGAAGCTGCAAATAACACACAGGGAGCGGGAGAGAAGGGGCGGGGAAGGAGCCATCCTAGCCTCTGACCCTGCCATGGTTGACGCACTCGCTCCCAACAACATTGCAGATCAGGTTCTTCTTTGTGCCTGGTTGTTGTTTTTTTCTTCTTCAGTGTTCTTTCAAAGCCTTGAAACCACTGTAAAATCCTAGGTGACAATGAATAAAATGAAAAGCAAGTGGAATATGTTCATTGTATCTCAAGTTTAGTTCCCAGCAAGTGCTAAGATATTCGATTATTATGACTATTTCTTTTTGTATTCTCTCTGTTTGTGTCTGTGTCTTGAAGGTCACGAAACCAAGGCCATGTTAAATAACCGAGGTCCTCGTTACAAACGCAGCAAAATAGAGCAACGCATGAACATCGATATATTCTTCTGTGTGGGGCTGCTATTCGTCATGTGTCTGACTGGAGCAGTAGGTATGGAGAAATGGCGGAAATTGTGCCTTGTGTTTTTACAGTGTTTCTGCTTAACAACCATTTTTTTCTTTTGTTTTAAATCTAAATATGATCACCCCATGGACTTTTTACATGTGGGAATGGCTTTTTAAAATGGAGAAAAAAAATAAGAATGAGCCTTTGCCATCTTGGAGGGTGTTGCACATATTTTTACTAGGTTTTCTGGACGCAGTCCAAATACATTCTTCAGCTCATGAAGTGGAATTTTTCTGAGTCCTTCATCTTTGTTCTTCTTCTTTTCTAACTGGTGACTCACACCACAAACCATTTCAGAACTCCCTGTTCTTTTTAAAAGGTTTTTGTGATAGTACATGAAAGGGAGAAAAGTGCTCCCTGAAAAGAAACAGAAAACAATCAGAGGCCTCCTTTGGTTAATGGAACCAGTTAGTTCGGAAGCTGAGGAGACTTTCAAAAACCTATTTAGTGATGGTGGCATGAGGATGTTTGCTATTTAATGAGGGGAATTTAAAAAGAGAGAGAGTGGCTGCATCCATGTTGTTTAGCCCACCTCATCTTTGGATTCTAGTCCATTTCAACTGAACATGAACCACCCATCTGCCTCCAAAGAGCTGAGAGGATCTTTAATGGAGAGGTCTGGTCTGAAAAGTATTGTGTTGATTTAGTCCTGGACCAGACAAGGTTCTTCTCTAAAGGCCTCTATACAGCCTTCCAAGGCTGCTTCTGTCACCCACACCCTATCAAGCTTCCCCTGCTATACTGTTTTTTTTTCCAAGGAAAAAAATAGGAATGAGCTTCCATTCCTTAAGGCCAGGAGCAGTGACTCACCTTTTAAATAGATTGTGGATTTTCCTGTTTCCAATATTTAACACCTCATATATGTTTTTTCCATCTCCTGAGAAAATGATACGTAGGACAGGAAGCAACAGTCGGAACTGGATATGGAACAACTGATTGGTTCAAAATTGGGAAAGGAATATGACATGGCTGTATATTGTTCCCCCAGCTTATTTAACTTATATGCAGAATACATCATGTGAAAGGCAGGACTGGATGAATCCCAAACCAGAATTAAGATTGCTGGAAGAAATATCAACAACCTCAGATATGCAGATGACACCACTCTGATGGCAGAAAGTGAGGAGGAATTAAAGAACCTTGTAATGAGGGTGAAAGAGGAGAGTGCAAAAAACGGTCTAAAACTCAACATCAAAAAAAACTAAGATCATGGCCACTGCTCCCATCACCTCCTGGGAAATAGAAGGGGAAGATATCCATCTGCCTCCAAAGAGCTGAGAGGATCTTTAATGGAGAGGTCAGGTCTGAAAAGTATTGTGTTGATTTAGTCCTGGACCAGACAAGGTTCTTCTCTAAAGGCCTCTATACAGCCTTCCAAGGCTGCTTCTGTCACCCACACCCTATCAAGCTTCCCCTGCTATACTGTTTTTTTTTCCAAGGAAAAAAATAGGAATGAGCTTCCATTCCTTAAGGCCAGGAGCAGTGACTCACCTTTTAAATAGATTGTGGATTTTCCTGTTTCCAATATTTAACACCGAGTCATCTAGTCCAACCCTCTGCTAGGACAGGAATCAAACTAAAACAGTCCTGGCAGCGAAAGAGAGTCCACTACACTTCCAAACTATTCTTGCTATCTGTGTGTCTTCTTAATGTTGACTTGGAATCAATTTTCTTGCAATTTGTACCCATCGGTTCAGGTACTAACGTTTGGAGCAATAGGAAACAAACTTGTTCCATCTTTGATGTGACTGGCAGCTCTCCAAATAATGGCAAACGGCTATCATGCCACCTCTCAGTCACCTTTTCCCTTAACTAAACATGGTGAGCTCTAAGTTGTCAAACTGCCCACATGGACTTGCCTGGTGCAGAAAACCTGCATGTTCTGCTCCAGGACTACTCTGCTCTCCATTGCAAAGGATTCTATGGCAAGGAAGGACACCGTGCATGGCCCCAGACATTGCTACATTGCAGCTCTCACTGTTCCTCACTATTAGCTTTGCTATCTAGGGCTGATGGAAGTTGCAACCCAGCAACCTTTGGAGAGCTGCCATTTTGCCACTCCTGTTTTGAGGGTGTGCATTCACTGCATACAGGTAACTGACCCAGTCCATGGGGCCTCTTCATTGTCCCAGTGTGAACATACAATATATCACAGAACTGAGTACACCCCATCACATTTCATAAACATGAAATGTGATGTGATGGCGAATTCTAGTCATCTAGTCCATCCCTCTGCTAGGACAGGAATCCAACTGTGTGTCTTCTTAATGTTGACTTGGAATCAATTTTCTTGCAATTTGTACCCATCGGTTCAGGTACTAACGTTTGGAGCAATAGGAAACAAACTTGTTCCATCTTTGATGTGACTGGCAGCTCTCCAAATAATGGCAAACGGCTATCATGCCACCTCTCAGTCACCTTTTCCCTTAACTAAACATGGTGAGCTCTAAGTTGTCAAACTGCCCACATGGACTTGCCTGGTGCAGAAAACCTGCATGTTCTGCTCCAGGACTACTCTGCTCTCCATTGCAAAGGATTCTATGGCAAGGAAGGACACCGTGCATGGCCCCAGACATTGCTACATTGCAGCTCTCACTGTTCCTCACTATTAGCTTTGCTATCTAGGGCTGATGGAAGTTGCAACCCAGCAACCTTTGGAGAGCTGCCATTTTGCCACTCCTGTTTTGAGGGTGTGCATTCACTGCATACAGGTAACTGACCCAGTCCATGGGGCCTCTTCATTGTCCCAGTGTGAACATACAATATATCACAGAACTGAGTACACCCCATCACATTTCATAAACATGAAATGTGATGGGGTGTACTCACTTCTGTGATAGTTATCTGTGATAGTTATAGTTATCAACTTCCCTGCTACAATTAGTATGTCACTGTTGTGGGACTCTCTGTTGCTACTAACAGAAGCAACCAATTTCAGTAGGGAAAAAAAGATCGTTTTCTGCCCTAACATGATCATGATTTACAGAGTTGTCAAATTCTAATCAAAACAAGCCCACCAAGCCTTCCACAAATAAATATTTGGCAGAGAACATAAAATTTCCTATACTGTAACTGTATCCTTGTTTGTAAGCAGCAGTGAAGAAGTGAGATACAAAACACAATGTTGAAAGGTTTCATATTGAATTACAATTCCTAGTAGAGTAAGACCTTGAGAAGTATGGGTTGACATAGCTGTGAGCCATTAAATTAGCCAGATGAGAAAGACTGAAAGGACCCAGAAAGGAAGTGTCCTCTCCAGCTGATCAAAAGCTCAGATTTAATTTTTTTTTTAAATGGTACTTCAGATCAAAATGAGTTTCTTGTGTTAAACTGGAATTGCAACTTGATACGTTTTGTGCATTGAGAGGCTCATTTGACATGCAAAAAACCTAAGAAAAAAGAGTTCAAGTTTTTTGGGTTACAAATGCAGTTGACATTTTGTAAAACAGATTTGCAAGAATTTTTCCATAAATTTAACTTGTAAAACTTACCAGACATTTACTGGATCCACACTCCCAACATATTTAGTAGAACCCTTTCCTTTTCTGATGTAAATGTGAGTACTGTAGTGGGTAGTAAAAACAACATGCCACTGACACTGATTGTGGGTGTTTGAATATCATATTTGAATACAAAGGTTTTGCTATCTTTGATCTTTGTTCATACTGCTGCCTTGGAATATCTTAAAATGGATGAGAATTTTTTTTTATACTCCTCATCAGATGGTGGGTTGTAAGCTCATCAGTAAGTAAGCTGCAGGTGAAACATTGGGGGAGTATGTTTGAAGTGTAATAAACTATAGGTACCAATTACAGAAGGTAATTGCCCAAGGAAGAGCCTAAAGGAGGAACAAAACAAAATGAACAAAAACAAAATCCAAACAGCTAAAGACATTAAGAGAGGCAGGTTCTAATATGCTCAGACCTGTAAAGATTAATGGGTGACCCGTGGGTCAATCACTCTACTTCAGCAGGCTCTCTACTACCAGCAACTCAAGGCCACCATTTCAGTGTGAGGCACCTCCTGTGAGGATTATATGAGGACAAGGACAGCTATGTATGCCACCTTGGGTTCATAGTAGGAAAAGTGGGATATAAATGTAACAAATAATTACATGTGAAACCACCACTGACCAATGGTCGAACTTCTTGCATAGTTTTAGTTTGCCTCAGTGTAACTATAAATAAGGTTATATTTCTTGTTAGCAGAGCAAATGTGGAAATTTTCCCTTGCATTCAGTATATGTTTTCCTTAATCTGTTATGCTAAAGTCACATGTATTTTATACAGGTCATGGCATCTGGAATGGGACTTTTTTAAAGCTCCCCTTGTATGTCATCCCAGATGCAAACGGCAACTATCTTAGTCCAGCCCTTGCGGGTTTCTACATGTTCCTGACAATGATAATCCTTTTGCAGGTAAGAAAATCTTTATTGGTAATGAGAAAAGAAGTGTACGGTTGCAGGCTGAATCAGACTGAAACTCAGAGATGTTCGTGAGCACTCATTTCCAAGTACATGTGGATAGACCCAAGATGCAAACTGTATAAACTGAATGATCCTTTAAATTAATTTTATTATGCCAGAAATGTAAGAAAGATCAAAACAAAACAAAAAGCTGAAGCAGACACACAACAGAATCAGGCATATATTTGTTGCGGTGATGGTAGTAGTAGTAGTAGTAGTAAGCATGGGAGAGTGTGTCAGGCATATATTTGTTGCAGTGATGGTAGTAGTAGTAGTAAGCATGGGAGAGTGTGGACTTGTCGACCTTAAGAATATCTGTATGCATCAAACAGTCAAACTATGAAGCAATTTCCATTGAAGCATGTTTCCACTTCATCAGATAATATTAGAAGTGATAAAGAACTAACATTACTACACCTTGCAAGTGAGAACCAAATGAAAGTCCCAAAGTGTAGAGATGTATGGCTTGAGAAACGCTGCCAGCACCCCAGCTACCTCCTGAATGACAATATGGATAAGGAACAAGTAAACCTGTGACTTAAATTAGGCAGTCTTCGGGCTGAAACAGAGGCATTTATATGTGCAGTCTGAGACCAAGTTATTTTCTCTAGATGCTATCAAAAGATAATTATGAAGCAAGGTATTAGTGACATATGAAGGGTCTGTCATGAATCCTTAGATATAAATTTTCATATTATAGTTTCATGCCTTAAACTAGCATCAGTAGATTATGCAGGCACAACCGAGTGGGAAAGCTCATTTTTCAGCAGTTGGCTAAAACTTACAAATTACTCACATCTTTGCCTTCTTGTTATAACTTCTAGCTGCCTCCAGTTTTAGGAAAAGTACGTAACTGTAGTATTATACTGGAACCAGCAGGTTATCGTGGATAAAAGAGTTAATTTTAATAAACCATATATTATACTTATCTATTGAGCACACACTAAAATTATAGGTTGGAGTTTCATCAGTAAGCAACTTCAAGAGTATATAAAGTACAAAAATTAAGACTATAAAACAAATAAACAAGCTTCAAGCGTTCGATGATAAATCTTCTTCTTCAAGGCTGTGCACCAAGTTCTTGTGGGTAGTTCCAAAATTATATGCTAATATTAAAGTCCCAAAGCCACATGGCTGATGTGGAGGCCAGATTAGCTTCTTAGTTGGAAATGGCTACAGTTTGTAAATGGTTTATGTGGGGGAGCAGAAGGGAGTGGCTCCAAGCCCCTCTTCAGCTAGCAGTTTGGAATTTATAGCCCATCTCTGAAAACAAATGAGTCAGGTAATCTGAGCCCACCTCATTCCCCTTTTCTGCCTTTTAAAATTTAAAATAATTATTATTTGGCTGAAGTCAAAAAGTGATGGCCCAGGAGCATGGATAGCCTCTAACAGAGTTGGGATCAGGAATTTAGTTAAACACCAGGAACAGCCGGTGTTAGCCAAACTAAAGCCAAATAATAGTTTTACTTGGTGGATGCTTGGTCAGTGGCCAAAAGTGATACTTCTGTTTGGTTCTGTTTAGCTGCGGTCTGTAAGAATTTAGCAATACATCACTACATCCACTGCAGGCAACAACATGCAAGCATTTGCTGCTCTTAAGTTCTGTCTACTGGAATTTTAGTTGGAGAGTGAAGTCTTGAAGTCAATAACATCTTGTTAACATTCTTGGTGGGTGGGGTTTTCCTTTTTTTCAGATTTTAATTCCCATTTCCCTCTATGTATCCATCGAGTTTGTCAAGCTGGGGCATGCCTTCTTCATCCACAATGATATTGACCTCTATAATGAAGAACAAGACTTGCCCATTCAGTGCCGAGCACTAAATATCACTGAAGACCTAGGACAAATTCAGTACATATTCTCAGACAAGACAGGGACACTGACAGAGAATAAGATGGTCTTTCGACGGTGTACAATTAACGGGAAAGAATTTTCACATCAGGAAAATGGTAAGATAGATGGACTGGCTGCATAAACATGAATCAGATATTCATACAAGACAGAGAGGCTCAATGGGGCTTTTTTTTCTCCCACTTTTGAAGACATTTTAGTATTTGCAGGTATGAATGTCCAGCTACAGCTGTGTCCTGCAGTGGGTAGGAGGGGAAAGGCAGGCTGTGCAACTGGGATACTGGAAGACGCTGTGGTAAAGAGGCTAGGCCATACAGTGTGGGTATGTCTCCAACAAACATAGTGACTGATCGTAAAAACAGATGTTGGTGTGAAGAAAGTAAAAGCTAGTTAGAAGAAGAAAAGTTAGTGTTTGAATGACAGAATCTCCCCTAGGTTCCATATTTGAGCAGTCAGAAGATAACCTTCTGATGGCCAATCTCAAAACGAAGAAGCCAACTTTCAAGTTGCCTGTCCCAAGCATACATAATGGCAATCGGATGGGATTTCATACTTGAGGATTTAACCACTTCTAACAATGAGCTGCCCATGGGATGTTGTTCAGTCCTACTCTCTGTTATCCCAGCTCACCTCTGTTACCCCAGTTCTAATCCAAATCTGTTGCCCCAGCTCTCCCTCACTGGCAGCCTCTGGGGTTTGACATTCTTTATCTGCCCCTTGTCCGGTTTCCCTTGCTGGCCATAAATGATAATTGGTGGTTGGAACTGTTGGACTGCTTGCAGGTGGGTCATAGTCTGGTTCCTGTCCTGCACAGCATGTCATGGACAGGTGAGCCTAGAGTGTTGGCATCAGTTGCTAGATCCCAGATGAAGATGGGTAACAAAGTTGTAGGTGCTGAAGTTTCTGTCTGTTGGTCAGATCCAATCCAAAAGCCATGTTGGATGGGAATGAGTTCTCCTTGTATGCTGCTCCTACAAAGGGTATTTATTGTGCATATGTTGAACCTGTGGACTTTGTGACCCACTTGCCAGTAGTGAGGATAGGATCACAGCTGCAGTACCCACCCGAAGTCTGGTTTGAATAGAGATTTGTGGATGTTACTTATTTGGACCATAATTCCTATGGTCATTTAGTCAGCACAGCTACCAGCCACATTACAGTGGTGCCTCGCATAACGAGTGCACCGTTTAACAACGAATCCGCATAGTGATCTATTTTTTTAGATCGCTAATGCGATCACATTGCGATGTTCTGAATAGGCAAAACATCGCATTGCGATGATCGGTAAGCGTTTCTTTAAACAGCTGATTGGCGGTTCAAAAATGGCCGCCGGGTGCCCAAAATGGCCACCGCAAGTGTTTTCGCGCCCTGCCCTCGCTTACTGAGGGTGCGAAAATGGCGGCGCTATGAAGGAACTTCGCTCAACGGTGAGTTTGGGAGCCATAGGAATGCATTAAAAAGTTCCTATGGCTTTTTCCATTCCGTTTAGTGATGTTTCTGCATAACAATTATTAATCCGGAACTGATTAATGTCGCTATGCGGGGCACCACTGTATTTCATTAATCACCTCACAGTTTCTTTCCTTCACCTCACCATCATCCTTTGTTTTTAACTACATAGGATTCATACAACTCTGGCCTGTGCTGTTGCCCCTTTCACTTAAGATTCAGACGGAGGCTGTATGAAACACTGCAGTGGGTTTTTTTAATTATTTCCCTCTCTTCTTTCTTTCTTTCTTTTCTCAAAGGAGAACATAACATCTTTGTCTTATACCTTTTAGCCAAGCGACTAAAAACCTACAAGGAATTGGATTCAGACAGTGAAGACTGGGCAAAACAATTGAGCCTCCCTTCAAACAAAGGTGCGCAAAGAGTTTCTGGAACATGGACAAACACCACCCAGCCCTTGAGAAGGTCTCAGAGTGCTCGGGCTCATTTTCAAGGGCATAGAAGGATCAGATCTCTGGGGGCCTATGGAAACTGTCCTTTCCAGGTTGCATTCAGCAGTACCATTGTAAGTAAGCCCTCTTGTTTCTTTAAACTGCTGTACTGCATATGGTCTATGGGGGAGTGAAATCAAACCATATTGGAGGTTCATGCTTTAAGTGTCAGCTTCAAGAAAACACAGCAAGATCCAGAGTTGGACAGTGAATTCCCAACTAGAGATGGGGTATTTCTATATGAATACGAATATTCCCACGCAGCTGGACTTAACTTGTGTCCAATGGTGGCAGCAGCCTCACTCATCCTTCCAATCACTCCTGGAGCCCCGCTCTCTTCCTGCTCAGCTACCCACCGCTGGCAATGGGAGGGAGGACGAGTCTCCCTGCACGGCTGCCGAGAAGCTAGTTAAGTTCAGCTGGAAGGGGATATTCATATTTGGATACGAATATCCCCATCTGTATTCTCAACATAACCGCACAAATGTATTCTGAGATTTTATAGGTCTGTATTAACACTAAAGGACCCTATGGCATATTGTTACTTGGCAGGAGTGGGCATGTGCAGCCTCCAGGGCCTTCAGTCTAGTCTTCTGGCACCCCTAAACATATACAGTGGTGCCTCGCATAACGAGTGCACAGTTTAACGACGAATCCGCATAGCGATCTCTTTTTTTTTAGATCGCTAATGCAATCGCATTGCGATATTCTGAATAGGCAAAACATCGCATTGCGATGGTTTTTTAAACAGCTGATCAGCGGTTCCAAAATGGCCGCTGGGTGCCTAAAATGGCCGCCACAAGTGTTTTCAAGCCCTGCCCTCGCTTACCGAGGGCGCGGAAATGGCGGTGCTATGGAGGAACTTCGCTCAACGGTGAGTTTGGGAGCCATAGGAACGCATTAAACAAAGTTTAATGCGTTCCTATGGCTTTTTCCATTCCGTTTAGTGATGTTTCTGCATAGCAATGATTAATCTGGAACAGATTAACATCGCTATGCGGGGCACCACTGTAGTTTTAAAAATATATATATTAAACCAAAAAGCCCCCTTGTATCCTATGGGGCGGAAGTTTTGCCATGTTTTGGTCCCCCTGCAGCACCTGTTTTCTACGAACAAAAAGATACTTGGCCACTACAGGGCATGGGGGGATACTTGTTTTTTTTTAAAAAAAAATTAAAAGCCTTTTTAAAAGAAAAATGTGGGGAGAGGGTACAGGAGTAGGTGCTGCCCTGCAAGGTCCAGGGGTAGACACATGTGGATCTCAGACCTCTACAGGTTGGCCATCTCCCGGCCTATGATTCCCACCATCTCCTTTAGCCATTTGTATTCTCTTAACACCTTGCAAAGAAGCAATTTATCCACCAAAGTGGTCTAGGTTGTGAAGGAGAGTAAACAACTATCCGTGTGGAGGCTGAAGGAAGGGTTTCGAGGACTGATGGTTTCCTGAGTGTGAAAACATGTGCTTGCTCCCTTGCATCCCACCTGCCCACCTTTAACTGAGCAGACACTGGAAAATACTATTTAAGGGTCTTCTGGAGAAAGTGCATCATTTAGAGCAGGATCATGGGGAGGTAGCAAGAGAAAAACTGTATAATTTGGGTGGAATATGAGCTGCACAATAATCAAGGTCACTCTATTATTCAGTGAAAATGCTTGTGGCTGAAACTTAGCACTGATACATATTCCTAGATGAAAATTAAGCCCTACTGAAAGAAAAAGGGAAAATCCAGATGAAAATAACAGCAGATGCCCTGTTTGTTTTGCATTTTCAAAATGCTAGGCAAAGCCTTGATTCTTATCAGCCAATACCAGTTATGTGCCCAAAGGCCAGTTTGCATTGTTTACGAAACGCCAAGTTTCCCGAAGTTTATGTGCCAGGTAGGACAAGTGATAGCCTTGGGTTGAATGAAAATTGAAAAAATTAGCACTACTGAGAAGAAACTGTGGTTTCTAGCTAAAAATTAGTACAACATCTCCTTCAAACACCTGCCTCTTGCCATTGTCAAGAAACATAGTAAGGAGCAAATCAGAGTAGTGTGTGTTGAAGCTGTATTCAAAGTAATAACACTATCAACTGACAAACTAACAACCAAAGTTAAATAGGAGATGGGAGAGGAAGAACAAATGATCCCAATGTAGAGGCATGCCTGTGCATACTCACAGCATCCTGAACTGCAGCCTCATTCCCCACCCATTGCAGGTCTTTTTCTTCTTTTAATTCTGCAAGACGTCATCATGGCCATTCTGATCTTGGATGTAGCATTTCTAAACAATTATGCTGTATTTCATCCAAACTAGTCTGTAATGGTTTTCAGCCAAGAACTGCTCCTTTCTGCTCTTTTCTTTGCATTTCTTTTACCTTGAGTGATCAGCATTAGCAATCTCTACTTTGCAATCACAATCTATTTCTCGTTACATGACTAAACCAAAGTATTCTGCCTTTCTGCCATTTGCAGCCATAAGGCTTTCAGTTCTCCTAAGAGACTTCTGACAGAAGGGGCTCCTAGACAGGGTCCCATCTCCAGTCCAAAGACATGATGCAGCTCTTCCTATTCTTTCACCTGCACAGATATTGGGGGGGGGGGGGGGGAACA